ATATTCTACGGCTGAAGGGAAGGGAAGGGAAGGGAAGGGAAGAGCGGGATTCGCTGCTTCAGGTTACTGGATGCCTTTGCTCCATTCACGCTTTTCGTATTTCTGATAGCCCTTCAATAGCGCTGTTTTGCAAAGGAATAGCGATCCCATCCCCCAAAATACCCCAGCACTTCTATCTCCGCTTTCCAGATGGGTGTCTAAGAAGCGACCCGAAGGGCAGGCAAGGTGAAAGGCAAGCCTTGCCAGTCAGTAGAAGGGCGCTTGAGGCAAGCAGAAAGTCTTCTCAAAGGGGTGGGGGGGGGACAAGTTGCGCACAAATAATCCTTGCGTAGCCTGGGCACAAAGCAAGTTCTACAGGGCAGCGCAATTAGTCGACGACATTCTCCAATAGGGAAGTTTCTGACTATTCCACTCCTCTCTCCTTCCAGTTCTCAGAGTACCTTAAGCTTCACCATTCTATCGGACGCACGTACGTACGTGTGTGTGGGGTGGTGGTGCAGATTTAAAAATGCTGGTGTAGGACGTGCGTGTGTAATTTTAACTCTCCCACTTCAAATTCCCGGGGCGGGGAAGTGGAGCAAAGCTAAGTTTGCAAAGGCGCCCACGAACAAAAGGAGCGTCTCTGCGTCTCTGCGCCCCGCGCCGCTGAATTCCGCCTCCGCGTGTTGTGTGTAGGAGAGAGACCGTGTGTGTATGTGTGCGCGCGTCGGTCTCCTGAGATCTGGGCGCCTCCACCCACCGCCCCCCTCGAGTCCTCCCTCTTTTTTCTCTCGCTTGTCTTGAGAATCAGCGGCGGCTCTCAGGAAGCGCGCCGGATGTTTGCTGCGTTTCATGTGGCATTTGTGGCCGCCTCTGATAACGCTGTCGGGAGAACCACATTCCTCCCCCCCCCAAACCCCACGCCACGCTTGGAAAAGCGGTAGGGGGGGGGACAGAAGACGGAGAAAGGCCTCGCCTGCTCAGAGTTCTCGCCTCTCCCCAGTTCCAACCCGCCTCTTAAGAAGCGGGACTTCGGTGTGAAAGAGCCAAGGCCAGCGGCCGTTTCAAATTGAAGGCTCGCGGAGGAGGAGAGGCAGTGAACCCTGAGGCTAATATGCTACGCTGATGCTGGAACTGATAACTTTCGAGGGGGGGGGGGAGGTTGATGCACGAACTGAACCTGTGGACACGATTCCGACTCGAGGTTATAAACAATCCCACCGATCTAAATTAAACACTCCAGTCTGGCCGGGAAACTCTTTCTATAGACAAGACGGCAGGCCAGGAGGTTTTAAGGGAGAGGAAAGAAGGGGGCGCACGGTCCCTTCTTTACTTAGAGTAGACAAATAAAAAACATACGAAAAAACATTGCAGGAATTGGGCATGGCTAGTCTAGTAGAGAAAAGAAGGATTAGGGGTGAGACGATAGCAATATTCCAGTATTTGAGGGGCCGACACAAAGAGGACGGGGTCAATTTATTTTCCAAAGCACCAGAAGGCAAGGCGAGAAACAATGGATGGAAGCTAATCAAGGAGAGAAGCAACCTGGAATGAAGGCAAAATTTCCTAAACAGTGAGAACAATTTACCAGTGGAAGGGCTTGCCTTCAGAAGTTGTGAGTGCTCCATCACTGGGGGTTAGAGTTAGGGTTAGCCATTGTCGGAAATGATTTAGGCGGGCCTCCTGCTTGAGCAGGGGGTTGGACTAGAAGACCTCCAAGCTCTCTCCCAGCTCTATTCTGATTGATCGATGAATGAAGTAAAATATCGTCAAACAATATTTCGTTAGGTAGTTTTTAATCTGAGCGGAGGAAAAACAAGGCAGAGCAGGGCAAAACTGGTGTGGACATTAGCGACCACCTCATGATTTATGCCAATTAATTATCATTGCTTACATGTTTAATAAAAACAAACCTAGGGTTGTCAATAAAGTTTTGATGCTTTTGATTTCAAATTTACATGGGACATCCAGCCTGGGATCAATGGGTTCGCCCCTGGACCAACGAGGGCGAGGTGGGGGGTTTCATAAAAATGCCAAGATGATGGGAACCGGCGCACAATCAAAACCTCCGAGTCTGTCTCTTTCTCTCTCTCTCTCTCTCTCTCTCTCTCTCTCTCTCTCTCTCTCTGTGTGTGTGTGTGTGTGTGTGTCGTAAGCATGGTTCATGTAAAAAGAAAAAGAAGGGTTTCTGTTGTACTGTTCACGGATGCCATCTTGACTTTTTTTGATTCCCACCTCCTGCTCCCAATGGAAATTGTTGAGATTCTCCCCAATAAATAAGTTTGCTCTCGTGCTAAATGTCTAGTTTATTCGAGATTCAAAGCGCCGGAACGTTAGAAGCAAACGACCTCTGTGATTTTATAGGGCCGAGTTGACGGAGGGTCCTGCCAAAGACCCCGATCCTTTGCGATTACCGGTTTAGAGTTCCTGCCAGAGTGGCAAAGCCCAACCCGTTTCTCTTTAGGAGCAACGAAATGCAAACGCTGCATTTACCGGGTGTCCTATCTTACTCCTTAGAATAAAATACAGGTGCAAAGCTGCACAAAGGTAGCGGTTTGGCAGGCGAAAGTCACCGGTTTCGCCATCAGGGCATTGGAGGGAGGGTCAGACGATCCTCTCTGATGCCAGACCAGCTTGGAATAAAGTCCCTTTCCAGAAACCGCCGCAAACCGGCTAATACAAAAATCTTTCGGATCTGGGCCGCAAATCCACTATTGGGATCCCCAGGCTCGAGGCTTACTTGCCGTCTTCCCTCTGTGCGGTAGAAGGGGAATGGGGGGGGAGGGGGAGAGCAATTAAATCAGCTTTCCATTTTTGACGTAACTTTGGAAAAAAAAAAAAGGGGGGGTCATCTCATAACGTAACGAAAAGCCTGGCTTCGCTGACTTGCGAAGCCGCTGATAACCGTGAAGTAAACTTAGCGCGCTGAGGGGAAGCATCCGGTAGTCTCCATCAGAAATGAGAAGGGGAATGTGAGAATGCAAATCCTCGGGGGCAACCCGGACACAAGCCAGCCTGAATCACGGCTTTTTTTTTTTTTATGGAAAGTTGTGATTTGGGGCCGATCCCTCGCAATTCGGCGCACTCGCCTGTGTCAGTCACGTTGGCGCGGTCCAGGCCATTTCCTCCGCAGCTGCTGCGGGAGTCGTAGCTACTTTCAAAGGACGCCCGTGGCTCTGCTCTTCCCCGTGGCAGCTGCAATGGGCTTTCTCGTGATGGGAGGGATTGTTTAAGTGTTCCGAGGGCGAAAGTTTCCAAGGACGCTTCATACTACTGACTACCAAGAGACAGGCAAAGAGACACTCGGGGTGGGGGGGGAGGGAGGAGGAGGGGTAAGCCTTCGTTTTCAAAACAGTCATTTCACTTTTGTGGTTTGGGGAAAACTTGAAACTAAGGACAAATCTAATCGTTCAGAAAAACGAAGATCCTCAGCATCAATCTATTTGCACAGGAGTGAAGTTTGAGCTGCACACACATTACAATGAAAATTTTGCAAAATAAGGAAAAATGTACAGTATAAGGCTTTTTCAGATCCAGGGTTTTAGTTTATTTACTTTATCCATGGTTTCAGAGTCATTTGCTGATTGTAGCCGGTGTTCCAGCGAAACTAATCCACTTCCCACAGTAGCAAACATGAATTTGGAGTTAAGATTAGGATTACAGTTTCCTGTGGGCCACAAGGATTATAATAATATTATATAGGAACCCAATTTACATCAAGGAAGCAGAATCAGATGCCAGCAAAAAGGAATTCTTCTGAAGCCATTTGACTAAAGCTACCTGTTCCTAAGACCTCAAGTCCCAAAGTGCATTCTGAGGTATCTTCATTTGTGAATAAATCACACTGGGGTGGGGGGTGGGGGGCTGCCCTATTAAATATATTTAGAATGTCAACCTTCAGTTGCTAGCTAAAATAAGGAATAGCCGAATATACTTACCAGCAAGTGTTACGATGTAACTGGAAGTAAATTGTTCAGTAATATCACGGCAATTCAAAAATTGTGTGCAGATAAGTAATACATGAAGTTCACAGTATGGCCATTTTATTAGAGCTTTCTACCAATCTAAAAGGCACGGCTGAAGTAGAAATCGCTTGGAAGAACATAGAATCTGTATCAGTTACTTCCGGTTATTTAGAGTATTTTCACTTTTTTCAACGTCAGATTTGCTATATCCGGACAAGGTTAAATCAGTTCCAACAGCTTGTTCAGGGTATGTTAAAAGTATATGCACGTCGTTATCTAAAACACCCTTTCCCTTTGTGTATTAATTGTGACAACGCACCACACCATCTTACTCGTTTAGACTTGCTTCAACCTAGAACGAATTTCTATGCTGGAATAATCAGAATAAAAATTAAAGGAGCAAACAGATTAAATCAAGAAGTTTACAAATGGAGTAATTATAGCAACTTAGTTTACAATAATTGACATATTTATCATATGAGAATAATCCAAATTGTGAATATGCATATTTACCATATACAAATTATTAAAGGTGACAGCAACATTTATAAATAAAGCAATATTTAAAAAGTAATCAGTCCAGTCCATAAGTGAGTTCTTAAAATAGTATTGCTTATATGGTATTTGTTAGAACATATCCTGTCTAGGAAACGCGGTCCAACAGACAGGAAACGGTCGAAAGAGGTCGAAAGTGTTTAATCTTCCCTCCCTGCACGTAGAAGCAAACTACCTAAAGACAAACAAACAAACAAACATATTTTCACGGATAAACCTTTAATTTTCCCCTTTCTTTTGTCAGCTCTAAGAAGTCATTTTTCGAGTCTCTTACTTACTTGAAAGTAGATCCCATTGATCTCAATGGAATTTACTTCCACGTAGACTCAGGTCATGGAAAAATCCACTCCTCGACGAAAAAGATTGTTTCTGGCTCTATCCCATACAGGTGAATTGCAGATAAAACTGGTCCTCTCCTCGCCCGCTCAGATTCTCTGGCCACACCCTCGCCGTCCGATTGGCTATTGCTCAGTTTAAACGGAGCCGCGCGGTGACAGCCGCCAGCTTACTCCAGGGTTGTCGGAGCTCTGGGCTTGCATCAGAGGCGCTTCCAAGCTTTATTGGCAGCAAACGGCGAGGGGCAAGCACTGCTAACCCACTCGCCTGCTCGCCTTCTGGAGGCACCGAGAAGGAGCCAGACGCTGGCCGGGCAGTGGAAATGAGCAGCCCCGATGCTGGATACGCCAGTAGCGACGACCAGGCGCAAGGACGGTCCTCCCTCCCTCCCCTCAGGATGCAGTGTCAGTGGGCAGAGTCGCTGAGCCCCTTAACCGATGGCAAAGGCGAAGCGGCGGCCGACCAAGTACAGCAGGGAGCCTCGGGCCGGGCCAAAGGGGAGACTCGCATTCGCCGCCCCATGAACGCTTTCATGGTCTGGGCCAAGGACGAACGCAAGCGGCTAGCGCAGCAGAATCCGGATCTGCACAACGCGGAGCTTAGCAAGATGCTGGGTAAGTACCCAACAGGCGTCGGTGGAGCGGGAGATCGCTGGAAGAGGAGGTTTAGCGATGTTGCGCGCTATTACTTTTCTATGTGCCATCCAAGGGCCGCCACGTCGCGGAATAACCCGTGTTGTCTTCGGAAATGAGACTACGGGCACTTTGTAAAGGAACTGAAGCAGCAGGCTCGGGACCCAGTAGACTCGTTTTTGTGATTTTTACAGAGCGTTGCGCAATCCGACGCTAGTCCAGGGGACACGAATCCCCTGAATCGACGACGATTCCTCCGGCAAGCTCGTAGGCAACACTTAAGTAAGTCTTCTGGAAACTGGCTTGCTCTCCCAACAGGCGGGCAAAATCCTTGCCAGCCTTCTCGTATTCCGCTAAAGATACAAGATTGATTGCCCCGCAACTGAGAAACTGGAACGGGGCGAAGGAAAGAAACCCAAGTCCAGCTGCACCCGGCCGCTGCTGGTCACCGCTCTTGCGGTGGCGCAATGACAATCGGGTGATTCCAGAAAACGGCTTAAGTTACTGCCACGAACTGAAACATAGTTCAGGAAAGTTTCAATAAATAATGGCGCTGGCTTTTCTTTGGTGTATCCCTCTTCTTTGGGTTTTCGCTTACCTTTCACACAGTGCGGCAGCAGCTGGGCGGGGTCGAGAGGAGACCTAATTCTACACGAAAGCGGCACGAGACGCGATCACTTCCTTGGTAGAGAAGGCCAGAGCTTTAACCACCAGTTAGCAAGTCGTGCCATAACCACCTACTTCCCTGAAGAAAGTTGGGTCTGGGAGAGTGAACTAGATTCTCCCCCCTCCCCCCCCCGGAGCCCCAGCTCCAGCTTGGCCATCAGCTTCCGCTCACTCGACTAATTCCGATTTCTCCTTTCCCTTGACAGGACAGTCGTGGCGGGCGCTGACCCAGGAGGAGAAGCGCCCCTTCGTAGAGGAGGCGGAGCGGCTGCGGCTGCAGCATATGCGGGACCATCCCCACTACAAGTATCGGCCGCGGCGGAGGAAGCAAGTCAAGCGCCTGAAGCGCAACGACGGCGCAGTGGACGGTGGGAGCGGCTTCCTCCCAGTTCAGCATCACCAGCTGGGCCTGCCCGGAGAGGCGGGAAACGGAGGCAGCTGCGAGGCGCTCGGCCTTTCTTATGCAGAGCAGCCCAATTACGCCGGCGGGAGCTTCCATTACCGGGACTGCGCGCCGCTCCCGCTGCCGGCCTTGGGCACCCATTTCGGCAACTACAGCCTGCCTACGCCGGAGCCCGAATCCCAGGGGGGCGCCTGCGCAGAACCTGTCTTCTTCCCGCCGCCCCACCCGGAGGACGGCGGCTGCCTGCTGGGCCCCTACGGCTACCCGACGCCGCCTGGCTCCGAGTATCCGTGCAACGGCGTCCCTGCCAGCGGCCACGGCAATAACGGGAATAGTCCCAGTGTCGGCATCGGCCTTTTCCGTAGTCGCTTCCCGGTGCCTTTGGCCTCCTACCCTTCCTCGCCCGCCCCGGACCACGCGCAGCAACAACAACCCCGTCGCCGAGGGGAGGCCCCCGCCGGGCTCGAGCAGCTGCCCCCACACGACGTGGACTTGCTGGCGGATGTGGATCGCGCCGAGTTTGAGCAGTACCTGCCCTTCGCCTGCCGCCCGGGCGACCTGGGGCTCCCCTACGCGAGCCACGAAGGCCTGGAGGCTAACGCCGCGGCCTATTACTGCGCGGCCGCGGGCGGGGCTGGAACGTATCCCTAGTTGTGAGTCCAGCGTCCCCAGGCGGGTGAGGGCGGGGCAGGTGGACCCTGCTAATATTATTTATTGTAATTTATTGACTGCGCATCTCTAATGGCCATTAGAGAAGGAGCTCCCGCGTTTCTGAAAATCGGCACGTCCAGGGGCCGCGAGGTTTTTTCTTGCAGGAGGCTCACTTCGCGGGAGTTAACAGGCATCTGCCTTTTTTTCAGGTTTTGTACAGAATGGGTTGGGCTTGGACTAAAGCACCCGATTAAAGTTTGACTTGGAACAGCTTGGCAATAAAAACGAAAAACAAAACAACAAAAAAACCCAACCATCCTTCAGGTGGTTTTATACCAAGGTGTGCTGGAGTTGTCATTCTTCAGAGACTTTGTTACCTGAGAAAATAACATGCCATGAATAGTTCAATAACTCCCAGCTAACTTTGCACACAAAACTCTACAATCTCGCTTTGCACATCCTAATACCACATTCTCATAAAATCCAAATCGATCAAGGGGTCTTAATGTGGCTGGGTAATCTTGAAACTAGAGTTCCCAGCTGGGCTCCTGGAATGGCTTTCCCATAACGGAGACCCCACAACATCTGCCATATTTTCCCTGAGCCAGTCTGCTTGGGAGGCCAAATTACATGGGCGGGGCCAGGAGGTAGATTCCATCATATTCAAGTGTGAAGTGAGACCTGAGAACTCTGTAGCAATTCTCAAGGTAATATTTTCAACCCTTTGGGCTCATTTCTCTTACCCAGAAAGCATTCAGTAAATGTAGTAAATACTGAAAGGATCCCAAAGATAATCAGATGAGAAAATATGAATGCTTTTGCCTGGCTTAAGTCTAGTGTTTGAACGTGCTTCATTCCACTAAGTGTCACCTACTGATAGTAGGTGTTGGGAAAGTTAGTTTAAATAAAGACAGTCACCTTCCCTCACGATCCAATCCCTAGGATAGTCTTTGAAGGTTCATAGCCTGCCAAAGTATTTTTAGCATTAGAAGGTATGTTTTAAATCTGATGTGAGTTTAATGCCTACTGGTATTAATTTGAACAAGTTAAAGGAACACAATTTGATTTTTCTCAATTCTATTCCAAGAAATAGAATTTGTATACCTTGCTCCCTTCAAAAAGTCTTCGACTTCAGTATCTAAGGAGAATTCCCTGTGAAATGAACAATCTTTGCTTCAGTGAATTTGAGATCACAATCCTGAGCCCTTTAGGGTTGCAGTAAATGGGTGCAAGTTGGAGCATCTGACCACTGTACTGCTGCTTGGCTCTCACCTTAATAAGCTGAACTGTTTACAATATCAATTTAGGATTACCAGATCCAAGGACCAGCAAAAATTGGGATAGCAACAAAGAGAAAACCTGGTGTCTGAAGTTTTGCAGCCCTAATCAGGTAATGAATTGTTGCAATTGATGCAAAAAAAAAAAAAAAAAGTGTGTACCAAAATATCACAAGAAAGAAAATATCAAGAGGCCAACATGTAGAAAATCTTGCTGCCCTCTTAGGTAGGGCATTATCTCCTAGAGTATGGTCAACTGAACCAACCAAAACTGCTCTTGAGAATTTGCTAAGACAGTATTCTTCAGAAGAAAACAAAAGCAGAGCCATTCTAAATTGATAGCAGTCATAAAAACTGGATCATGTGTCAGAGGAAGGGACAGGTAGGAGCCTTTTCAATTGACATCCTCTTATTTTGTACCAGTTGGCAGCATCACTACAGTGCATACTTGCTAATTAAAAGTACTGAATTAATTTTGGCCCATATCTGTATCCCTTTGTAAAAGAGTACAAACATGTTGATGCATTTTTCCTTTCCTTCCTTTTAAAGTAGAAAACAAAGGCAGGTAGAATGTGTTGTGATGGATATGGGTTGGAGTCCCCCTTGCAGCAAACAAATCGTGGTAATACAATCCCTCAAAAACGCTAGACTGAGATTATACAATATTTGTGTAGTAAACTTGTGGATATGCAGATAAGTGATTTCCCATCTCTTTGCCTGTAACCTGTATGAAGACTTACTCAGGATTATGTTCCATTGATCAGGATTTAAATTTTGTAATAAACATGATTAACTTTTTCAATTCTAAGTGTCTTGTCTTTTATTTTAGTATTGGAAAAAGTTCTATTTTAATCAATCCCATTTTATGCCTGTTTCCCCGGAAGAGTTCTGGAGGATATGATATTCCATCTCAAATTCCCTCTCCCTTTTCTCTTCCCCTCTCCCTCTTAGCCTCCTTCCCTACCTCCTTCCTTCCCTTTCCCTCTCTGAATTTGAATCCTGATCATTTGGATTTAAATTGAGGAATTACTCCCTAAATTAAGAATTGCCATTTCCCTAAAAGTCTTCCTTTGTAGCTTTATATGATACTTTGATTTCAAGGCTTTAATACTACAGCATGAAAAGTTAGGTTGCAGTTGGTTGGATTCAAATATTACATTAAGCAAAAAATTAAAATACCCCCAAATAAATCACTCTAGGGCTTAATATCCTAGAAAATATTGTTTGATTAGGCTGTACTGGATACAACAGTCTTATTGTATATGGAAATAAAACATGTAGTTTATTCATACTTTTTTGGGAATCACATATTCAACAGAATCCAGACATGCTTCCAATTAAAGAAAAGTATCTTTATTAACTAGCAGTTTTTAAAGTTTTCATCTTTACTATAGCAATGTAACAACTTGATACGACAATAACTTAATGACAGTAAAATAAAGTATTGTCCTCATTGGACTGTTTGTAAGTGGGCAGCAGGAGAAAGTTTTGAGAACATGAATTAGCCAATGATTATACCAGAGGCCCCCAACCTTTTGGGCACCAGGGACCAGTTTCGTGGAGAGAGGTTTTTCCGCGGACCGGAGGGCATGTGGTTTCTGTGCTGCCTGCATCCTGCGAATGGGGCTTTGCTTGTTTGCGGACCGGTTGTTGGCATGCCATGGACCGATGGTCCACGGACCAGGGGTTGGAGACCCCTGGAATATACAATACTGGCTCCTGAAATATACATCCATTCCCAAGGAATCTGTCAATAGCTAATTTGAGTTGGTCACTTTCACCCAGACTTCTGGAAAAGGTGAAAGTGCCATAAAATTTACACACCATGGCTTGTGTTGGATTAAGCAGGAAAAGATAGTTTTTTTTTCCAGAAGAAGCAAGACCATCATAAGTTTGCTTTAAATAGGGAACAAAGCAAATGCCAGTCAAGGGGGAATACAGAATATGGGGATGATGTAAACTGTAAATGCATGCATTTGAACAGAATCATACTGGCTGTGTTTTACCTGTCACTCCGTTCTGTGTTTATTTAATGGGAAAAAAATCCTGGTTAAGGTCAATGTACTGGGAAGGCCTGCTGTGTAATACAATTGGAGTGCATGCTTCCTCAGCAGTAGGTCCACAGTATGAGGCCTGTCCGAGAGAAGACTGGATAAGATGCAGCCATATTACCTGCATCCTATTACCTTCTGTCACACCAATGGGTTTTTTTTCAAAGAAAGATTCTTACCCAGTCCATGGTAAGAATTGCAAGGCAGGACTAGACTAAAACAAGACTAAACCTAAATGTTCAGCCATAGAAGCAGAACTTCTCTAAATCAGACCACAGTTTTATTTACCAAACATGTGAATTCTCTATATCTCTACCCAATTTAAATCACTTATAATTCAAACTTTCTTAAGCACTCATGGATCTTCTTTAAGGCTACTAGATCTGGACTCCAAAATCCAGATGCCCACTAGAAGGGCAGGAAAGCAGTACAGAAAATGCTTTGCTGCATCTGCTCATCATCCAGGGATTTGCAGTTCTGGTCTTACTATATTCCAGGCATCTATTTCATTTTCGGTGAATGCATGCTCTTTGAGAAGAGCATAAAACATGCTTGGTGATAATCTTAACCTGTTGGTAGATCTCTCACGCAGATAGATAAATTGGCCGTGGTATCATACGTACTGAAATTATTTTGACCATTAGAATTAATATTCATCTATCTGGTTTTTGCTTGTTGAATAGATTGAAGGCAACTTGTGCATTTCAAATATTTTGGACTATATCTCCTAATTATTAGACATGCTGTCAAGCCTTATGGAAGTTGTAGTTAAATCAGTTAGAAGATATCCAGTTGCCTGCCATTCTTTAAAGAAGGGCCATAAAATTTGAAATACAACAGACAAAACACTTTGAAATGGTCACAGAACATTTCGTGGTAATGGTGTGCTCATGATTCCAGCTGGCCTGCTTGCCAAGTTGGTGCCACTGAGTATGCTTAATTCTTATTCATGTCTTACATAGGTACCAAACCCTTGTGTGAGAATGGTATCCATTTGCTACATAATCAAATGATTTTGAGGAATTAAGATGGAGACCCTACCACAAAGTGATATATTCCTGACCTTAGTGATCAAAACTCTTCCTCGTCAAAATGGAGACTGCCCCAAATAAGTTATCAGGGAGGTACTAGCTGTCAAAAGTCTTTTCTCCCTTCTGTTCTTTCATTTCCGTTCTATTGAGTAGAAAGAACTAGGGAATAAATAATCCACAAATACTGCATGCCACAGGTGAATTCTGGTGGGAACAGAATTGTAACATGAGTATATCAGTGCTTTTTTTTGTAAAAAAAAAAAAAAAGTGCCAGAACTCACAAACGTTATACAACCTGCCTTGCCTACCCTACAAGGTTCCATCCAAAAAAAGGTGCCGGAACTCCGTTCTGGACATTCTATGACAAAAAAAGCCCTGAGGTGTGTTCATGACTGCCCACAATGCTGCATTCTGGACCCAGTTGCATCTTCCAGATAGTGAGGGCAGTCTCAAGTGGAATGTAATAGAGTAATCCTCTCAGGGGATGACAAAGGTTTGAGTGACATGAACAGTGTCTCATGGCCCAGAAAAGGATTAGGGAAATGAAGGAAAGTAAAGTTGTACAAAACCCACACAGCATTGGCTGTTCCTTCTCTTCAAGTAGGAACTATGCGTCCAGAAGGACTACCAGGGATTATGCATAAATTCTGTTTTGAGCAGCACAATCCCAACCAGAAACAAAGATGGAAAATATTAATAGATCCAGGAATTCCTAAACCCAGAACCATTCAGTCTTGGTAGAGTAGAGCTGAAGCCTGTTCTTCCCCAGCTCTTGTTAAGAAGCAAAGTGAATATCTTAAGATTTGTATAAATTTAAGGTACTAAGTGTATCTTTTAAAAAACCCCTCTTAAATTCATGCTAAAAAACAAACCAGTTGTTAAAAGGCAATCATTATCATTATTGTTACATACAACATATATACAGTGATAAGATGAAAAAAGTATATATATATATGAAGCATATTTCTAAGATATAATTTTGAATCCACAATATATCACTGCTCATACATAAAAACAATGTAAATAATTTCCATTGCCCAGTACCTTACTCACATTTGGAGAATTGCCCATGTTTGTTTATTTACTTTAGATATAAGACACATAATGTTTGGCCGTTTTAATTTCCTGCCCATCAAGCAAGTTAAAACGCTACAAAATGAGAATAATCCTATTGATACACACTTACACTTTTTTGTTCTTTAGGCCAAGTAAGTGGATCTCACTTAATTGGTGAGAAAGTAGATAAAAATACTTCTAAGTCTTTCTCGATAATTATGTCCCGGTCCTCTATAATTAATGACTTAACTGTCCAGTTAGTTAGCTTAGCATGTTGTGTTTTTAGTTCTAATTGCCTTGTAAATAGTTTCCTTGCAATAGTGAGTAACGTTGAACAACTTAGGTATTAAGTCATATTGCATTGGAAATTATATATGCAATACAACCGCAAATATATACATTTAGCTATATAGTAAAGCAATTATTATGTTTGCTTAGAATCAATCAGACATGATAATATTTTTGTTTTAGGAAAAAAATAGTCGGCATTTGCAAGGAGGAGAAGGAAAAGTGGTGACTGATGTTTCTTCTTGTGGAGAAATAGAATGGAGTTTATACCTTTGGACAGAGAAATGAATGCTTAGAAACATCAAAAAGACTCACCGAAGCAAAAATGAAAAGAGTTTTTTTAAATTTGGTGAATATTAGTGTATTCTTTACCATGACAACAGGACTTGACCTGTAGTCAGAAAAGAAAGTTATGGCAACTATATTAACTATGTAGTTCATGTGCAATCAAGGATTTGCTACTGTTAACTATGTAACCTTGGAATCTGTTTTAAGTGTTGATATTGTTGAAAAAAAGTAACTGTTTTTCTCACAGATAATAGGATATTATGTAAATGTAAGAATGTTTGCATCCATGGCATAAACATTCTAATATCTTCTTCTAAAAAAGGATAATATTCTTATCTGGCCATACAAACACAAATAATCCTTTCCTATGAGTAACTTCTTCTTTGAAGTTATTCTCTAAATACTGGATGTGTTTAATGATAAGTCTGTTTTGATAAATGGAGTAGTAACATTTTGAAAGAATGAGTGAAAAGAATAGGGGAGTTCCTGCTAAAATGGAATATTGCAATGCTATATAGGTCATTATTGTCATCTCTGAAAGTTGTTCACAGGAGAATCAAATAGGAAAGGATTTCTCTATTTTTATTTGGCTGTGGCTTCTTTCCACTAGCATCTGCAGAACCCCCGTGGAATCAGAATGCTGAATGATATGAATCTTTGGCTAGGCTGATGTTGCTTTTCCTATATATTTTTTTAAATTCAGTAATGTTCTTATGAACATCCTACACCTCTTACCAGAAGTTTTGGCTCCTGAACTGAATTTAACCCTTTGTCTTTTGTGATTTCTTACTTTTATTTATTATTCTGCATAGTCTCATAGGTTTGTCTCATATTTTGTTTTTCCTGCCTCATCCCCTACTCCTCCTGCTTAATATGAAAAGCAATATAGTATTATTTATATAATGACACTTAAATGTACTTCAACAGAATTATTACAGTTTTTAGCCTTGGATACAGGTGAAGCATTGAAAGATTGCAGATACTTTTAGATAGGTAGCCAACACTTCAGACAACGTCTGATGTAATGGTTAAATGGGAGACTGTGAGTCCTACTTCTGCCTTAGGCCAGATGGGTCACCGTGGACCAG